TGTTTTGCAAAATTCGCAGCGGGTAGTGTACAGCATCGATTTCTGTGGAACCCAGTAGCTGTCAAAACTTTCACATTTTTACGAATAACTCGGAAATCGTAAATTTTTCAGGTAAAACGGTTGAAACAAACATAAATTAATCCAATCTGAAAATAACAAAAAAAGGGGGGGTTTCATTTAAAAAACCAGAGTTGGTAACTACCACACGTTTATGATGCAGCCTGTATATTGGAAAGTAATTTTAGAATGTGGACCTTTTAAACGTGAAAATCTTTCGTTGGACGAATTTTCTTGTAAACTTCATATTTACTGAGATATCGCACTTTGACGCACTAATGAGCAACCCTGTATAAGTTGATTGAATTCCATTTTTTATATTTCGGGTTTATAGTATATACATACTTTTATATTGTGTGTATAAGTGTATAATATGCATATAAGTAATATATAAGTGTGTAATAAAGTGCATAACTTTTTTCTCGAGGGCGCCATTTACTATTACTACATAAATGTCCTGTTCATGATGTCCCTGGTAGCAAAAAATATAACGTTTCTGGGACGATTCGCATGCGATCTGCATGAGATAGATCATCCCATGCGGGATAACGGGGATCAAAATAGAACGTCCCACGGACTATTTGCGTTTGTTGGGTTTCTGTACTTCACTTACGTGAAAACTTTTTAAAATATTTTTGCCTTTTGATTAGCTTTTCGTGTGAAAAATGCTCATATCGACTAGCTGAAATCCTGATTTAAATATAATTACCATTTTTCAGCAAACAAGAACTTCCCAACTTGTCGCACAATGCAGTTAAAAAAGAGAGATTTTCCATTTCTCATAATGCAGTTATAACCCGCACTACCTCAAAACTTAAAACAAAATCCGGTAGATGGGGTGAGCGCTTCGCGCCAAATATACTTACCTAGCGTATAGCTTTCATTATAAATCTTCTGTGATGCTACCCGACAGTCTAATCCATAGATGAAGCAGAGACAAGTCTCTGGATGAAGACAACTAGGTCTAATCTAGAATGTTGTAGCATAGGTAGCGTGTCGCCAAGTACAATCATCTCGGAAGCACAGCATAAAGATTATAATCTTTATGCTGTGCCGGAAGAAACTGCCCTTACCAGGGGCGTGCGGTGAAAATTTAAAGAAGGGAAGCTATTTTCACATAAAAGTACACGACTTCTAAACTCGATTTTTCCCGACTTTGGTAAATCAGGCTTTGTGAAAGACGTCAAATATATGTACAATGTATGTCACAAACTTGTTTTAATTTTTTAATTTATAAAGAGATTAATTAAATTGTGCTCTTCGGTTTTCCAAATCTCTCAGCTACTGTTTTTGTTGACCATCCTTCTTCGATCAATGTAATTATAATTCGCGAGTTCAACTACCAATGAGGGCGCTGCGAAACAGTGGCGGAGCGAGGGGGAAGGGCAAGGGAGGCCAACATGTCCCGGACGTTGCTTACAAAGCGGCGCCAAATGGTCCGCAAAACAAAAAAATTGCTGGATAATTTTTAATTTTATTATAATTTATTTCTGGAATATATATTTTAAATTTTGCGCCAGTGTAATATAATAAATGTGAATTGGTTAATAAAAAGGAAGAAAAGGAACACCAATAGTTTAAATCAAACTGTAAGCGAGTTTTATTAAAATACATGCTAAGGATACAGCCTCGACCAAAAATACTGAAATTTCGAGGAAATTTCATTAACAAACTGCAGATCATAATGTTACGATAATGCTGCCGTGATGACAGGTCACACATCTGGGGTTCAACAAAGAATAATACAAAAAATTATAAAGCATTATTTGTAAATTGTGGTAACCGTTCAATGAATTTAGTGGGAGTTACTGCAGATAAACAAGATCCAATCGTTGTGACATGAGTTATGTCAGGCCTAACGATCCGCACTTGACTTGTCTGTACGTGAAGTGCCATCCCTTGATTCCCAGGAACTGAACACTTACTTGTTCAAGTGTGTGAACCATACATTGGTAGATTAGATATTAACCAGATGCATTTGGCAGTAGGTTAAGCTAGGATTTCGTTTACATTTTTAAGAGTAGCTTTTAAGTCAGGCAGTCAGCTGAAAACCACCAAAGAGTTTGGTACTTAAAATTGTTAACAGTCAACTTTGTTAATTTTAAATAAATATTTTAAAAAACAAAGTCTCGGACATTGATCGTTACCTCAAGTTTTGGACTAATTGAAAACAAATATTTTCTTTTCTCACGTTCAACGTTACGATCGGAATTATTAGAATTTATTGAACAAAAACTGTCAAACTTGAATCTGAATCAGACCAGGTCATGTGTCGTACCTTCCCCCCTCCCCACATTCTTCTGGAATTCATTGAATACACAGGGATAATGAGGGAGTAAAATACGAGGGCACAATAGGGCAGAAATGACCGCGGTGCAAGGCCAAACACCATCTCGGCGGTGAGGAAAGGGTTTTAGTGGGTAAACAGCTTAGCTGGAGTCCCACACAACCCAGAGCGACAGACCACCAGCTCTTGGAGTGCATAAAAG